GTGAACATATCCTCATGTCAAAGAATGTTGTACACAACCTAGTGGTTACTACGAGTTTTTTTCTCTACAAGTGACATGTTGTCAATGAACTCTTATCTTCGGCATCGTGTGATATATATCGTCAAATAGAACTGCCCGGTAAACCGTAGGCAGAGAGGGAGAAGAGGACAACAAACGAGGGGCTGTGACAAACTGTTTCGTCGGAGTTTCACCGACTCATCAGGAGGCTATGATATATCTGTATTCAGTTTCGAGGCATTGGACCACTAACCAAAAAGTTGGCAAAAATACCAAATTCGAAAAACAAATTGACGAACTCCGAAAACTACTCTGAATAGGGTTTATAGTGCTTTTTATTTTTATTTTATTTTTTGATTTTTGGCCTGTTTGTCCTTCTATATTTGTATTATGGGTGTACATTGTTTGCTCGCAAAATTTTTGACGACATTGCTTGTGGTGGTGCGGCGAAAAATACTGAATTTTTTGTCTTCCATAAACCATCTCTCATATATTCATGCATCTTGTTCAACCGTTTGAAGCATATGCATGAACCCATGAAACGAGAAGGACATATGATCGGGGGAAAAAAAAAAACTAAAAAAAAAAATGTCCGCCAAACAAAACAACTTCTAAAGTTCAGGCTTTGAAATCGACACAAGTACACGATTGCACATGCATGTGGCAACAATTCGTAACCCCTACTTTGTTTTTATCATATTCTATTTCGGTTTTTCATAAATGTTTATTGTCTGGTTAAAAACTATGATTCAATGATTAATTAATTGATTGATTGTGTATTGGAGTCGGGCTGACCCTTCCCCCGGGGTCAAAATCAATCAAGCAAGCAAACAATCCATGAAGCAACCTATCAATCAATCAACGAACCAATCAACTAATCAATCAACGAATCAATCAATCAATCAATCAATCAATCAATCAATCAATCAATCAACGAACCAATGATTCAATCAAGCAATTAATGAAGCAACCTATCAATCAATCAACGAACTAACCTATCAATCAATCAACGAACCAATCAATCAATCAGTGACGTTGGTTTTCGTTTGTGCGTACTGTTTCCAATATTGGGATTGGGTTCATTATTTGATTGAGTGAATGATTGAATTTTTTATTATTCAATAATAGATTGATTGATTGATCGAGGTCTCCCTTCCTCGTCAGACAAAAATCATCCACCATTGAACCGATCTCTCAACCAATCAATCAATCAACCAATGACCTTCCTTTTCATTGATTGAATGATTGCTTGATTGATGGATTGATTGATTGATTGATTGTTTGATTGATTGATTTATGGGGTCAGGGTCATCCTTCCTCGCGGGGCGCAACCCAACCATCAATTAACCAATGAAGCAAGCGTTCAACCAATCAACGAACCACACAACTTGACTCAAGCAACAATTCATTGACTGATTGATCGGTTTAGGGTCGTGCTTCCTCGCAGGGCACAACCCAGCGATCTGTCAAGCAATAAGAAATCATTCAAGCAATCATTCAATCAATCGATCTATTAATCGATCAGTCTGTCACAAAGCTACATGTGAACACACACACATACACACACACACACATACACACTCACACACACAAACACACACGCACACACACACACACACACACACACACACACACACATGATCATCGTTTCTGCATATACACCCATAAAAAAAATAAAAGCACGGAGGACTGAATAAAAACCATAAAGAATAGAAAAGGATAAAAGAAAACGAAAAAAAAAATTAAAAAAATGCATAGTGACTCCGACCATTTAAATGTTGAGGGCATTTTTTTGCAGAAGTGCAAATGAGGCGTTATGCCTTTCGAACTATAAGAAGTCAATGTTCAAGTTTCAGTACAACGTTGACGATGACAAAGCTATACAACGACC